AAGCTTTATTATTTTTCATGTCTAGATCAATGGGGGTCAAGATTCATTTTTTCCCCATATGTAAATCATTGAACTGACTTTTTTTTCTTATTGGTACTAGACTTGAACCCAGTCAGAACTTTTCTCTCTTGCGTTGAGAAGTCTTAAAATCAAGGTGTCTGCAGAACTGTGCTCCCTCCCTCCAAAGGATTTAGGAGGAATGCTTTCCTTGTTTCTTCCAGCTTCTAATGGCTTCTAGTGCTCTGCTGGCCATTACTCTATTTGCTTCCACTTTCATATGGCTATTTATTCTTTCTCAAATCTTTTTCTGTCCTTCTTTTAGAGCATTTGCCATAGGATTTTAGTGCCAGTCCCAGTAATCTAGAATGATTGTGTCTTTATTTATCACTATTACATCTTTTTTTTTGTCAGTTATGGGGTTTGAACTCTGGGCCTGGGTGCTGTCCCTCAGCTCTTCAACTTAAGGCAGGCTCTCTACCACTTGAGTCACAGGGCCACTTCTGGTTTTCTGGTGGTTTATTAAAGATGAGAGTCTCATGGAATTTTATTGCCCGAGCTGGCTTTGAGCCGCTATCATCAGATCTTAGCCTCCTGAGTAGCTAGGAATACAGGCCTGAGCCACCGGTGCCCAGCTACCATTACATCGGAAAATACCCTTTTCTCATAGGAGACCATGTTCTTGGTTCTGGGAAGATACACTTGGAAAAGTCTTCCATTCAGTTTGTTACATTGCTCTACGGAGCATGTTGTAAAACTTCCCTTTAGGGTGCAAAGAAAAAGTGCTGAGACGTCTCACTGGAGGTACTCTGCTACAACGCCCAAGGAATGAAATGTTGAAGGATGTGTGTGGCTTCTGGCTACAGGTACTGAGGCTGCAGGCGCCCACATAGCAAGCTCCTGGAAAGCAGGAAGCAACCTTTTTTTTTCCTGAAATCCCTCCCTACTGCCCTTTACTGACGACAAAGCTTAACATTGATCCTTCACAGGCAAAAGCCCCAATTTGTTCTCATAGAGAAGGCAAAAAAGGAAATTAAATTGAAAACCAGCACACTCAGATGCCATGATAGCTCATTAGGAAACCTACACAATATCTGCGAAGTTGGACTAGGTAGTTATTTTGGAAAAACATTTAAGCCATAATTGATTTAGACTTTACTGAAGTCTTTTTAAAAAAGACATGTTAATTATATTTCGTGAAACTGAAACAGAAGATGTACTTTATATTGCCAATATATGGAAATTAGGAGTCAGGCACCAGTGGCTCACATCTGTAATCCTAGCTACTCAAGAATCTGAGATCTAGGGCTGGGAAGGTGGCTCAGTGGTAGAGTGCTTGCCTTGCAAGCTGGAGGCCCTGGGTTCGATTCCTCAGCACCACATAAGCAAAAAGAAAAAAACCGGAAGTGGCGCTGTGGCTTGAGTGGTAGAGTGCTAGCCTTGAGCTGAAGAGCTGAGGGACAGCGCCCAGGCCCAGAGTTCAGGCCCCACGACCAGACCCAAAAAAAAAAAAAAAAGAAGAATCTGAGATCTGGGACTGGGAATGTGACTCAATGGTAGAGCACTTGCCTTGCATGCATGAAGCTCTGGATTCGATTCCTCAGCACCACATAAGCAGAAAAAAAAAGCGGGAAGTGGCGCTGTGGCTCAAGTGGTAGGGCGCTAGCCTTGAGCTGAAGAGCTGAGGACATCGCCCAGGCCCAGAGTTCAGGCTCCACGACCGGACCCCCCAAAAAAGAATCTGAGATCTGGAGACAGTAGTTCAAATTCAGCCCTGGCAGGAAAGTTTGTGAGACTTTTGAGTACAAAAGCTCAGAGACAGCACCCAGGCCCTAAACCAGGATCTGCATTCAACAAAACAAAACAAATGTGGAATTAGTAGAATCCCTGCCTTAATCCCATGTGGTTCATATCTGTATTTTGTAGAAACAGGTGTGTTTTTAGAAGCTGTATAATCTTGCTCTAGTCACTAGGTGGTAGTAGCCTATAAAATACCTTGTGAGATACTGAATATATTTTCCATTTTTAAAAGAAGCATTTAAGACAAAGCATCCTTTCTTTTGTTTTTAATTTTTTTTTTGGTCCGGTTGTGGGGCTTGAACTCTGGGCTGGGCGCTGTCCCTCACCTCTTCAGCTCAAGGTTAGTGCTCTACCATTTGAGCCACAACTCCACTTCTGGATTTTTTTTTCTGCTTATTTATGTGGTGCTGAGGAATTAAACCCAGGGCCTCATGCATGCAAGGCAAGTGCTCTGGTTACCACTGAGCCACCTTTCCAGCCCCAGAGCATCCCTTCTATCAAAGTATTTTGCTTCTTTTCATCTTGAGAGAATGGTTTGTCTTAAGGGTTCCAGCTTTGGTCAGGTTGCTTGACCCTTGTTAATTACATTTTAGTTATATACATCCTTCCCCACAGCCCCCAAAACTTTAGGACATCCTGTTAGAAGCAACTTGAATTTTTGTTTCTTCCTGTTAAGTACCCTACACCTTTTGTATATTAGGAACCTGAGCTTAAGCCAATGTGTTCAGAGGTGCAGGGCCTGCTGGGTTTGGGTATAAAAATGGAGCAGCCTGCTTGCTGTATTTGCTTGCTAGATTTTTTTTGTTGATGCTGCTTCCATTTGTAGAGATAAACTTTGCCTTGCCAGAGTTCCTTTCATATTTGTGGCTTTATTCTTGTGACACCCCAACATCCCATGCTATTTCTAACAAATAGGGCTATTTTTATTTTATTTTATTTATTTATTTTTTTGCCAGTTGTGGGGCCTGAACTCTGGGCCTGGATGCTGTCCCTCAGCTCTTCAGCTCAAGGCTAGTGCTCTACCACTTGAGCCACAGCACCACTTGCAGCTTTTTTTGCATATGTGGTGCTGAGGAATGGAACCCAGGGCCTCATGCATACAAGGCAAACACTCTACCACTGAGCCACCTTCCCAGCCCTTATTATTATTATTATTATTTTTGGGTCTGGTCGTGGGGCCTGAATTCTGGGTCTGGGCGCTGTCCCTCAGCTCTTCAGCTCAAGGCTAGCGCTCTACCACTGAGCCACCTTCCCAGCCCTAGGGCTATTTTTATTAGAATTTAATAATTCTTTTCTTTCACTTGTGCCAGTACTGGGGTTTAAACTCAGTACCTTATGTTCTCTTTGATTTTTTTTTTCAGTTGTGGTTGGCACTCTACCACTTGAGCAACACCTCCACTTCCAGCTTTTTGTTAGTTAATTGGGGACAACTCTGATTTTTATGCTTTGGCTGGCTGTGACCAGAGATTGTCAGATCTCAGCCACCTGAGTAGCTAGGATATAGGTGTGAGCCACATCACACTATGTAAGTAGAACTTGTTGAAGGTTTAACTTTCTGTTACTATAATTTCTTCTAGCTCTTACAGTTTACTGTGTTTTTTTTTTCCTGGTTAGTCTTTTTTTTATTACTTTAAAATTGTTATTATAAAAGTGATAAACAGAAGAGTTAGATTAAATCAGGTAATTTCTTTTTTTTTGGGGGGGGGGGGGGTTGTGGAGCCTGAACTCTGGGCCTGGGCACTGTCCCTCAGCTCTTCAGCTCAAGGCTAGCACTCTACCACTTGAGCCACAGCGCCACTTCCAGCTTTTTTCTTTTTGCTTATGTGAGGCTGAGGAATCGAACCCAGGGCCTCATGCATGCAAGGCAAGTGCTCTACCACTGAGCCACCTTCCCAGCCTCTGTAATTTCTTTTTGGACAATGTCACCCCTTCTTTCACTCTCTCCCTTTCCACATACTTTTAATTCTCTTAGGTGGCTTTATCCCAAATAATTTTGATAACAGAATATTTCACTTGTGCTCTCTGCCATAGAGCAGCCATTATACATGTGTAGTTAAGAGCACTTGAGAAATATAAAAATTTATTGTTTTATGTCCTGGTGCTGGGATAAATACCCTTTTCTAGGCAAGCACTTTATCCCTGAGCTACACCCAGCCCCAAAACTGAACTCTTCAAGTGAATATTTTTTTGTGTGTGTTGGTCGTGGGGCTTGAACTCTGGGCCTAGGGTGCCGTGTCAGAGCTCTTCAGCTCAAGGCCAGTGCTCTACCACTTGAGCCACAGCAGCCACTTCTGGTTTTCTGGTGGTTAAATTGGACATACGTCTCACGGACTTTCCTGCCCCGGCTGGCTTTGAACCGCAGGCCTCAGATCTCAGCCTCCTGAGTTGCTAGGATTACAGGGGTGAGCCACTGGCTCCGGGCTAAGTGCAAATTTAAAAAATTCTGCCAGATGTAGTTGGTGGCACACAGCTGTTAACAGCTACTGAAGACACTGGTCCAAAGCTGGCCAGGAAAAAGGAGACCTTATCTTGAAAAACAAACGAAAAGCAAAAAGACTAGGGGGTGTGGGAGAGGCTGACAGTGGCAGAGGCTGACAAGCCCAAGGTCCTGAGTTCAATACCTGACACTACAAAAAAAAATTTCAGTCGGGCGCCGGTGGCTCACGCCTGTAATCCTAGCTACTCAGGAGGCTGAGATCTGAGGATCGCGGTTCAAAGCCAGTTCGGGCAGGAAAGTCCGGAGACTCTGATCTCCAATAAACCACTAGAAAACCGGAAGTGGTGCTGTGGCTCAAGTGGTAGAGCACTGGCCTTGAGCTGAAGAGCCCAGGGACAGCGCCCAGGCCCAGAGTTCAGGCCCCATGACCGACCGAAAAAAAAAAAAAAAAGACGATTAAGGAGAAATAAGACCGTAGGGAAGGTGGGGCGTTCCGGTAACTTTAAGGTCAGTACACTCCAGCTAATGTCCCGCTATGCCTTCTCACCAACACTGAGTCAGTCCAGAGTCCCCGCAAATCCCCGGGTGGCAGATTCAAGCGGCTCCCGGGTGTTCTTCGAGCTCCGCCTCTCCCACCTGGGCGCCCTCCTGACCACGCCCCCAATCACCGGCTCCGCCTCAATGACGTCCGCCTGGTGCGGCGCCTAGTCGGCGCGCTGACGTCCGACGCTCCAGGTACTTTCCCCCAGGCCGGCTGGGCTCGGCTTGGGGGCGGGGCGGAGCGCGGAGCGCGCATGCGCTTCAGCGCTTGCGCTCTCCCCGGACCGTGCGGGGCCTGAGCCTCTCCGCCGGCGCAGGTTCCGCCCGCGCCAGCGCTCCCTGGCCGCCATGTCTACCACCATCAAGCGGGAGTTCGAGGAGCTGGATGCTCAGTCTCACTGGCAGCAACTATACTTGGTGAGTCCAATGTCTTATCCGCGCCGGCAGCCACTGCCCTTCCCTAAAGGACCCGGGCTCGCGCCAGCCAGACTCGCTCCCGCCTCCCGCTAGGGGCGGAAGTGGCGGCGCGGGCCGCGTCAGTGCGCGCCTGCGCGCACGGCTCTTGGGAGAGAAACTTTCTCGCCGAGAGGCCTCGTCGTTCTCGCCAGCGCGGGTCCGGAGTTGGTTCGGGGAGGCGGCGCCACAGCGGCGCCTTGTGGCAGCGCGGCCGGGCCCCCGGCGTGACGCGGCGCTGGGCAGAAGACCGGGAGGGGCTTGGCCGTGGGCGTGGGGCTGCGGCGGGAGCGGGCGCGGGCGCGAGGGGCGCCGGGCGGCCCGCGGGGACGTGCGGGGTCCTGAACTCGGGCCTGGCGGTGGCCCTGCCGCTCCGGCTCGCGGACGTGTGTCAGCGTCCAGGTGTTGTGTGGCGGGGCCCGCTGGCAGCTGGAGGCTCTGGAGTTGTGGGGCGGGGCGGACCCGGAGTCGGAGCGGGCCTCGGCGGCTGGCGGTGGCGGGTGGGCGGTGGCGGGAGCTCCCGCGGGACCGCCGGTCTCCAGGCCGTGCGGGTGGCCCTCCCATCCTGCCCGCCGTGGTGCGTGTCGTCCCCTTTAACCCCCCTTTGCCGAGGCATGCGGCATGAACGCATGCCTGTGAGCGAGTTTTCACCAGTCTATACTGTAGTCCTAGCGTGCACTATGGAAAGCGTTTAAGAATGAAAAGTCAGCCAGAAGGGGCGTCACGTGACCGCCGTTCTCCGGTCTGTCCGCCTCGAGCACGTGTACCTGTGCACCCTTATTGATTTTGTGCTGATTCGGGGGTGTGAACTCGGCCTGGGGTGCAGTCCCTTAGCTTTTTCCGTTCAAGGCTACTTCTCTGCCCCTTGAACCACACAGTTCCGCTTCCGGCTAGATCTACGGTGGTTACTCGGAGACGCGAGTGTCACGGATTTTCCCGCTCTGGCTGGCTGATCTCAGCCTCCCGAGTAGGTAGGGCTGCAGGCGGGAGCCTGGGCTCCCTGCTCGCGTGCATGCTTTTGAGACTAGTCTGTCCGGCCTTCGTTCTCTCCCCCTCTTCCTTTCCCTCCCTTCCTTCTCTCCTTTCTTTCCTTTCCTCCTTCTCAAGAATGAACTAGCTTCTAATTCAAACAAAACTTTTATCTCTTTAAGAACGAGTTACTTATCTTTTTTTTTTAAATCGATAACATTATGTCCCAGATTGAATTTAGTGATTGAAGAGTTGTTAAAAGCTGCTCCTATTTTTTTTTTTTTTGAGTTTTCCCTAAGTCTGGATGATCCTTGGTTTTCCCCATTCCATTTAATTATATGACAATAAAAATGTTTCCTTCGTTTTGATGTTTGGACTGTGACTTTCGCCTTGAACATGTTAGGCATACTTTGATTCTCATGAGTTCTGATTATATTAACATAAGTTGCTAACTTTTAAGCAATGCTGGTAAGGACTCTTCCAGTTGTAGAGTCCCAGTGGGAATTCTAGTAGGAATTTTTCTGAGCCCAGCTGCGTCTTCTGGTTATGTTGGTTAGCACAGTTACTTTCTCAAATGATGGATGTGATGTATGGAAATGGAGATTTAAGAAGGGAAAGACAAGGGGTTGGGAAGGTGGGCCGGTGGTAGACTGCTTGCCTTGAGCGCTTGAGGCCCTGGGTTCGATTCCTCAGCACCACATACACAGAAAAAGCCAGAAGTGGTGCTGTGGCTCAAGTGTAGAGCACTAGCCTTGAGCTAAAGTGTTCAGGGACAGTGCCCAGGCCCAGAGTTCAGGCCCCACGACCAACCAAAAACCAACCAAAAAAAAAGGGAAAGGCATTCAAATTTGCTTTACCTAACTGGGTAAAGCAGTTTAATTTACTGTGTCACTAATAGCCTTGGGAATTTAGTGGGAGTTCTGATCCCTCTTGCTAGAAAAATGCATATACTTGCATCATCCAGGGAAAATTTCACATTCAGTTGCAACAAGTTCAGGAAACCCTTCCATGGACTTGTACCTAAGAATTGTGTAATTTACATGGTTGGGTAGTCCTGATACCAGTTTTTCTTTCTTTTTTTTTTTTTAATTTAATTTAATTTTTTTTGTGAACTGTACAGAGGGGTTACAATTACATGGGCAGGATAATGCGTACATTTCTTATCAAGCATTGCAGCCTCCTCCTTTGTTTACCCTTCACATCCCTTCCCTACCTCCCCCCTACCCCCCCTACCAGTTTTTCTTAATGGAAAAATAGGAGTATTAGTTCAGATAGTAGAAACCTTGCCATGCATACTAGTTTTTAAAAAGTAGATTACAAACCACTAAAGTTAATAATGGAAAGAAGTAGGGAAAAGTTTGGAACAAGTCTTCTGTGATTCTCACAACAATGTGGAAAATCTTGTCTGAGAACCAAATACAAGGCCCAAGAAATAATATTAAGACCATGACAGGAGAGACACATTGTATTTGTCAAATATATCTGGTTGGCTATGCAGGACCATCAATCTATCTGTGAGAAACTGAAGTGGAAATAGTTCATTGTATAAGTTTGAAGTTCAAATCTGAAGGGAGGCCAGAACTTTTAAATACAGTAAGTATATAGGCAGTGTTTGAGACTAGGTAAAACATAGTGTTTGGAAATATTGAAAGCCAAGAACAGAATCTTAATGGACAGGGATATTTAAGAGAATAAGTAGAGAAAGAATCTTGCAATAAAGAAGTGGAAGGAATACCAAGGAAGTAGAGCAAGGTGGCAGAAGAGAGGGAAGGTTGATAGATCCAGGCTGAAAGGACTCATTAAATTGAGCAAGGAGATCATCAGATTATTTAAAGAGAACAATTTCAGTGTGTGCAGCTCCTTAGAGTTGAGAAAAGGGGGAGGGAAGTAGTGCAGACAATTAGAGACCTCTTCCAAGAAGAAGCCTGGTTTGAAGGGAGAGAGAGGAGAGGTAGCTTTTTAAAAGGAACATGATTATTTAATTTCTCTAATGGTTTTCGTTGCTCACAGTGTAACATTCAGTGCCAGTTACTCACAAGGCTTTGTTTCCTTTTCTTTTTTTTTTTGACAGCATTTCACTGTGTACCCTAAGCTGGCCTTTCACAACTTTTATCTTCTTCCTGAGTACTGGAATTACAGGTGTATGCCACTATGCCTGACTCAGTGTCATTTCCTTCCTCTTTCCCTACTATGGTCTGTGGGATGGGTGTCCATTCTTTTCTTGGGTTCTTTTGTAGTCAGTCTGCTGTGGCACATCTTTTTCAAACCCTATTCTCCTTCTTCCTTAATACTTTCAACTCATCCCTGAAGTTCTTCCTTGGGGAGCCTCCCTAACCAGTTTAAACTGAGTGAATCCTAGTTAAAACTTACTATAACTTCATATGACTCCCCCTCTCATAAAGTGATGATGAATTGGATATAATGTGTCAACTGACTAATTCAGGAACATAATTTACACTAAGCAAACCACTATTGACAAATAACAATACTGGACTAGAAATAATGTGTTTAAGTTTTTATGAGAATAATAGGTGATGCTTGTGATAATGTTGATTAATAATTGTGGGCCCCCTCCCTTTTTTTGTCTGTCTTGGGGCTTGAACTCTTGGCCTGGGCGCTGTCCCTGAATTCTTCAGCTCAAGGTGAGCGCTCTACTGCTTGAGCCACAGCACCACTTCCGGTTTTCTAGTGATTTATTGGAGATCAGAGTCTCCGGAATTTCCTGCCCGAACTGGCTTTGAACTGTGATCCTCAGATCTCAGCCTCCTGAGTAGCTAGGATTACAGGCGTGAGCCACCAGCGCCCGGCTAGTTGTACTTTTTTAGTAATGCTAATGGGGCTAAGAAAAGAAAGGCTTTGTATAAAGTTTTTGTTAATTTTTTTTCATGGCATGCAACCAGTGGCTCATTCCTGTAATTATAACTACTCAGAGGCTGAAATCTCAGACACTATGTCCAGTTAAGCACAGTTCAGGAATAGCACCCAGGCCCCCTTAGTTCAAGCCCTAGGATGAAGAGAAAGAGAGGGAGAAAGATGAAGGAAGGAGGGAAAGAGTAAAAGAAAAAAGAATGAAAAAAGAAAGTTAAGGCAGGTAAGGGTGGCTCACGCTTGTAATCCTAGCTACTCAGGAGGCTGAGATCTGAGGATCGTCGTTCAAAGCCAGCCCAGGCTGGAAAGTCCACCTGAGAATCTTATCTCCAATAAACCACTAGAAAACCAGAAGTGGTGCTGTGGCTTAAGCAGTAGAGGCTCGCCTTGAGCTGAAGAGTGCAGGGACAGCGCCCAAGCCCAGAGTTCAAGCCCCACAACCGACAAAAAAAAAAAAAAAGTTAAAAAGTCCATGAAGCCGGGTGCCAATGGCTCACACCTATAATCCTAGCTATTCAGCGGGCTGAGGACCAAAACCATCCCAGGCATGAAAGTCTGTGAGACTCCAATTAATAAGAGAAACACCCAGAAGTGGGACTGTGGCTCAAGTGGTAGAGTGCAAGCCTTGAGCAAAAGGAGTTTAGGGACAGCACCCAGGCCAAAACAAAAAACATAAAAACCTCCATAGAACTCTCATATCCAAAAAGTGGCACCATGGCGCAAGTAGTAGAGCACCAGCTAAGTAAGCAAGCCAAGTGAGGTAGAGTTCTCTAGTTCAAACCCTAGTCCTACTACTGTTAAAAAAAAAAAAAATTGGGCTGGGAAGGTGGCTCAGTGGTAGAGCGCATGTCTTGCATGCCAGAGGCCCTGGGTTCGATTCCTCAGCACCACATAAGCAAAAAGAAAAAAGCCGGAAGTGGCGCTGTGGCTCAAGTGGTAGAGCGCTAGCCTTGAGTTGAAGAGCTGAGGGACAGTGCCCAGGCCCAGAGTTCAGGCCCCATGACCGGACCCAAAAAAAAAAAAAAAAAAAATCAGTCCTGGGGCTGGTAAGGTGGCTTAGTGGTAGAGTGCTTGCCTTGCATGCCTAAGGCCCTGGGTTCGATTCCTCAGCACCACATAAGCAAAAA